CACACACACACACACACACACACACACACACACACACTTGCACTTGTCTAATTTAAATCAAAAGCAGAATGGGGGGTGGGGGTTGGATGTACTGTGTGAAAGGCTTTCCCTAGGGAGGTTCTGGTCCAGGTGTATCCTGGTGAGGTGAAAGACTTAAAACAACTCATATTAATATTCTTCTAAATCCGTGCTTCCCAATATTTCTATTCAAATGAAATCAAGTTACAAAGAATATCAAAAGTGACCTTTAGGAGGAAATGAAGTCACGTAAGTGCAGTGAAGTATATCTGCCCTGAGGTTTTTTTTATTAACATTGGCTGGCCTGAGCCACTTTCTTCTCTCTTCAGGTTGTCTCTGAGTCACTGTCTAATCAGCTAGTCCCCCCATGGATTTTCCCAATTTACTATAATGGTTTTTAATTTAATAGACTATTTTTGTCTTTTTCAGATTCTGCCTTCCATGTGTTTTTGCTGTTAAAAAATGTTCTTTGATGAAGAAATAAAGGAAAACAGCAAAGTATGACTGACATTTTTAATGTGAAAAAATTGGAATATTTCCTAGGCCAAGAAAACTGAATGTGTGAGAACCACTGAACTAGTGATTGTTAAGGTCCTTTAGGCTCTGGTTATGTAAAAGTATGAGAACTGAAGCCAGAGAAATTAAAGGTCACATTCTAAGTCAAACTAGACCCTACATTTTTATAAAGCTCTAACCCACTGTCATGTCAGAGGTCACCTTATAACAGTGTTTCTCAAACAGAAGCAATTTTGCCTCTCCCAGGAGACATCTGGCAATATTTGAAGATATTTTTGGTTGTCACAACTGGGCCGAGGGTGAGGGTGGGGGTGGGGGGTGTTGCTGTTAGCATCTAGTGGGTAAAGTCTGCTAAACACCCTAATGCACAGGACAACATCCCACAACAAATTATTATGTAGCCCAAAAGGTAGACAGTGCTGAGACTGAGAATCTCTGTTTAACTCTCTCCACTATGTAACTCACACTTTATGAACTTAATCACATCAGAACTCAAATTTCAGCAAAGGAACAAACATTAGGGCAATCTGAATCACAGGAAGATGTGTGGCCTAAGATTACTTTGGCAGGCGATGACAATACAAAAATCAAGATTTCTACTTTCTAGTTTTACTTACATTAAAGTCACATTCCACGTCTGAAATTCAAAATTCTCTTTTCATTAGACAGCATATTTCAGTGGTTTAAAAAGTGTATGGGAGAGAGGCTTTGGAACAAGACAAGTCTGCACTCAAATTCTAGCTCTAACACTTACTAGCTATAAGATCGCAGGAAAGATTGCAACCTTATTGGGATTCCATTTCCTCATCTACAGTATCAGATTCATAATATCTACCTCACAGAGTGGTTTTAAGGGTTAAATGAAAAATGTATTTAAAACACACTGAGCACATGTGTCTAGAATATAATAAATACTAAAAATTATGTTTAATTTGAAGAGGGATTATAGTTAAGAGTTAAGACTTTTGAAAACCTCTGCTCTGCTACTTACTGTGTAACTTGAACAAGTTAATCTCATGACTTTGAGCCTCAATTTCCTCATCTGTGAAATGGGGCTAACACCATCCTTCTCATAGGAGAGCAATGAGGACCAATAAGATAAAAGTATGTAACGCACTCAGCATAGTTGGAACAGAGTGAACCCAATAAAACCCAATGATATTTTGCACATACAAAAGTTCTCCCATACATATCCTAAACTACATTTTGCCTAACTTTGTGCCATTTGGGCTGGTTAGAGAAACAGTTATTACATTTCTCTTAAAATCTTTTCTGAGCTACAAATTCATCACTCTTCCAGTCCTTTCTGAATCGGGACAGTGTTTTGTTTGTTTGTTTGTTTGTTTGTACCTTAAATATGTACAATTTTTATTTGTGAATTATACCTCAATAAAAGGCAGGTTTCTTACTTCATCTTTTTGGAATGAATAGTTTTACATAGGATGTATTTTTGCTCTGCTTTCACCATTAAATTGTAATTGCCTAGAAGGCCAGAATAACAAAACAAATACCTTTTGTATAGCAAAGCCTTTGAACTATTTTCTAGTCCCGCTAGCAATTTTACAACATATTGACATCAGAAAACTCATCTCTAAGCAGGGCTCTACCATGCCTAGAGTGAATATAGGCTTCAAACAACACTCTGTTTCCTTAACCTTAATAATTAATGCACACCAGAAATCCACATATAGTAGTCAAACCCTCAGTATTCGAAGTTATAGTTAAAATAATTACCTAGATGAAAAGGGAGACCTATTGACAGTGTCTAAAATCTCTCAATGTATCATAATAGCAAATTTACAAGTAATTCATAGAAATATTCCATCATTTATGGATGACACCTCTGAATTATATCAAAGGCTAAGTCTCTAAAAGTTTAAATCCAACACAAAAAGAGATTGCTCACCTCTGGAGATTTCTGTATATTCTGGAATACAGCATAGGCAATAAGTGAACTTGAACCTATAACACTGACAGAGATAAAAGATGATCAATAAAACAGGACAATTGGGGCTCCTTCCTTTTTGCTATTGATTTCTTTTACAGTTTCACTGACATATAACCGATGTAAAATAAACTGCACATGGTTTTTAAAAATATGGAATGCATCACGAATTTGTGTTATCCTGGCGCAGGGGTTACGCTAACTTCTCTGTATCATTCGTTTTACCAAAACAATTGATTTTGCAAGCCAATCCTTCGACCAAGCTGTCCTTTGTTTTTCAGATGTTACCCGTTCTTTTAATTGTTATTGTTAATATTGTTACATTTTATGCATCAGCAAACATCAACACAAGTAAAGAATAGCATTTCTCTCTGACTAAAGAATAAAAGCAAATCCCTCCTGGGGGGACGGGGCGGAGAATGTAGAAAACTTCAGAATTCTCCAGTTTACTTATGCTAGTTTAAACAGTCATGTTACATAAGATTAAATAAACTTACCTCAGAGTAGCCATAACAAATTGTATCCACTGTACCGCAGAAAAAGCCTATAAAAAAGGAGAAAGTGAGGGTAAAATTAAGCCTTTTACATTTAATATTTAACCTTACTCCAGTTTCACTGTTTATTAACTATCTGTGCAGAGCATAAACTCTTCCTCAGTACCTAATCAAAACACACTACAAGTCTGAGAATAAGGAGAGGCTGAAAAGACCCATGGAAAAGCAGGGTGTTTCCTTTTTTCCTACTTTATTGCTGTGTCTCTGTGAAACAGTTAGGATAAAAACAATAGAAAGGTAGATAGAAAATGGCTGGGTGAAAAAAAGAGAGTTGAATGAGAAAATTAATAAAGAATAAAATGGAGAAGAGGTAGGAAAAGTTAAATTTTCAGAGAGAATAGACAGATGTATGGAAAGAATGGGTAACAGGGTAACAGGAAAGGCAAACAAGTACTCAATACAGTGGACTGACAGAACTAGACAGACAGGAAAATAGAATGCTAAGCAACAGAGAAATAGGAAGAAGAAAAGTTAATAGCATTGAGAGAGAGAGAGAGATACTGTGAGTGAAAAATACAGAACAGGGAGGAAAAACGGGGAAGCAAAAAAGAAGAGAGGGACAGCTTCTAATCTCACCACATCCAGACTGTCCTCCAGAATGCTAGCCTCCAGTAGGAAGGCCATAGGGACTTGAGTCCCAGATACACATAAGCTGCTGGATCCTTCTCTGTCAGGTTCTGACTCGCCAAGCAGTGAACAGGTGGCTCCACCCCTACCCCAGCTGGGCTCCTCCCTACCCATTCCTGCCCTGTATCTTGAGGGCAAGGAAAGAAGGCGGCAACAAGTGGAGGAGAAAGCCAAGCAGAAAAAACAAAAATAGAGCAGGTGACAAGGAAATACATTCTAAAAAGCATTAGGAATTGTAAGCAGGGGTAAGAGGCAGGAATAATAAAAAGCAGAGAATGAGTCATAATGAAAAGGTAAATAGAGCTGCAAGAGAGAAATGGAACAGAAAAAAAAGGGAGAGAAATGAGGAAGACAGGAGGATCTGCTTAAAACTTGCCAGTTTTCAGACACAAGCCTGTGATGGGAAAGAGAACGTGGATATTCACTCAATCAATAAATTTTTAGTAGTACCAGGAAAAGGCTGTGAAGAAAAGGGGTTATTGGGCCGGCAGAGTGGTGCGATGGTTAAGAACTGGCTTGGGACGCCAGAGGGCCCCGGTTCGGATCCCACATATGAGGGCCAGTGACACTGCCCTGAAGAACAAAACAACAGCAACTTGTCTGTTCCTCTTCCCCCAATTCCCTACCACTGTTCCCAATTCCCCAATAAAAATCTTTAAAAAAAAAAATGGAGCATACCTTTAAAAAAAAAAAAAAAGAAAAGAAAAGCGGTTATTATTGTCTCATACTTACTTAATACCAACATCTTCAATATTCTGTACCCAAAATTCCCACCAGAAATATAATTATATAATTACACAATTCAATGAATATATTTATGTTTATATATCAACTTTGTGTTATGGGAGATACAAAGACAAATAAGATACAGACCCATACATCCACAAGCTTATAATATGGTAGGAAAAATGGCTTGAATACCCAAGTCTCAAATTATCTGCACACAAAAATAATATGCACTGATTGGCATTTAAACAGTATGTGTAAGAACTGGTAAAATTGGACAGAGACTGGGGGGAAGGAGAAAGCAGAAGGAAGAACATTTCATTTATGTAACCATTTATTTCATCTAACCATATTCACTTCTGTATTTCATACATTCTACAAATATTTATGGAAAACATAAATTAGATCATTTGCATGGCTCACATAATTTAAATATATGACTCATTTATTCAAATGAAGTTAAGAATACGAGTATAGTGTGGAGTAGAAGATGCGACATTTAAGTGGAGGTAGGCTCTAATCACTTTGCTTAAATTATTAAATAAATAAAAATACTTGTAAATTTCTGGATCAGAAATCCCTTCCATAGGCCTTAGGGAGTGTTTTGAGGCCTCTAATCATATATCTATGTAATCAGGGTGAGGGGACTAATGACAGTCTCACCAAGTGATGCGAGAATGCTTTCGAACAAAGGATTCTTGTCTCAGTCAAGAGCACATCTCAAATTGTTCAGAAAACAGCCATGCCAAATCAGTCTGCTGCTCTTGATAGAACTTTTCTCTTTTGGCATCTCTTCTAAAATGTCTTATGCCACCAGACAAGATTTGGTGATTTACTTTTCCATTTTTCTTTCTAAATTAGTCTTCTGCCTTCTGAATATTCAGCACTGTCCCCCTTTGAAATGTCTTTGGAAACATAATCTTCCCATCTTCCTTTTCTACAAGGGTTAACCCAAGCCTAAATGATGAAGTAGGTTATACTTATTTTCAGTTCCTCTTCTCCTCTTTTTACTCATCTCCTTGGCAAACTCAAACACATTCCAGCTTTCATTTCACATAATGGGCTACTATACATTACATGTCAATTTAAGTTAACAAATAATCATTAAAGTTCTATCATGAGGAATTTAATGCAGTGGATACAAAGTAAATAAAAACATCTACCTAGTAAAATATTTTTATTTAAACAAAAATACTCAACTCAAAAATTTCTAGTAATAACTATCAATTATCAAATGCTTTCTATGTGTAACACTCTATGCTAAGCATTTTAACCCTCAACACAACCTTTGAGATAAGAAGTATTATTATTCCCATTTTACAGATGAAGAAACTGAAGTTTACAGTTGAAGAAACTAAGGCTTAAAGAAGTGAAGTCACTTCCCTGTGGTTACAGAATTATCAAGTGGTAATGCCAACATTCAAATGCAGCCAGTCTGACTTCTCACTCTTAACACCTACTTTATTCTAACAGGGAACTGGTTAATGGGAGAAAAGGGAAAAATAATTTCAAAAATTAACGTGATATCAAGAGAATTCTTTTATTAGGCAATTGTTTCTGAGATATGACAACAAAAGCACAAGCAACAAAAGAAAAAATAGATATAAACTGGTCTTCTTCAAAATTAAAAACTTTTGTGCTTCAAAGGATACCCTCAAAATAGTGAAAAGGCAACCTACAGAATAGGAGGAAATATTTGTAAACCATGTATCTGATGAGGGACTTGTATGCAGAATATATAAAGAACTCCTACAACTCAATAACAAAAATAAAATCCAATTTGAAAATAAGCAAAAGTTTTAAACAGAGATTTCTCCCCCAAAATATACAAATGACTAATAAGCACATGAAAAGATGATCAACATCATAAGCCATCAGGGAAATTCACACTGAGACACCATTTCACATGTACTAGGATGGCTATAATAAAAAAGATAAAAGCAAGAGTTGATTAATATGTGGAGAAATAGGAACCCTTATACACTTCTGCTGGGAATGTCAAATACTGCAGCCACTTTGGCAGTTTCTCAAATGGTTAACCATATACCATAGGACTCAGCTCCTAGGTATAAATCAGGTTCCACTCCTAGGTATATGCCCAAGAGAAATTAAAGCTCACAAAAACTTAACAGTATTGTTCAGAACAGACAAAAAGTAGAAACAACACAAATGTCCGTCAACTGATGAACGGATAAATAAAATGTGGTCTATCCATACAATGGAATATTATTCAGCAATTAGAAGAAAAGAAGTACTGATAACATGCTGCAACATGGGTGAAACTTGAAAACATTATGCTAAGTGAAAGGAGCCAGTCACAAAACACCACATATTGTAGGGTTGCATTCATAAAAAATGTCTAAAATAGGCAAATTTAGAGAGACAGGAAGTATAATAGATTAGTGGTTGTCTAGGGCTAAGAAGGTAGTTTGAAGGAATGGGGAGTGACTACTAAGGAGCACAGGGTTTCTTTCTAGGGGGAAAAATATTCTAAAATTAGGTAGTGGTGATAGTTGCACAATTCTGTGAATACACTAAAAACAACTGAAATGTACACTTTCAAAGGATGAATTGTAAGGTAGGTGAATTATATCTCAATAAAGCTGTTGCCAAAAAAATCACGTTTGGGACAAAAAAGGGAAGGAAATGTCCCATTGCTGAAATTCATGGTGTAATAATTAATAGGTAACATGTTTCTGTCTTTCCTATTGAAAAGAATAATATTTATATTAAAAAGTGTAAAATAAACATTGCAAGAGGGAACTGAAGAGAAAGTTTATAAGAGAGCACCTGACTGTTCGAAATGAACCCACCACTCCTGGCCTGAACAAATTACACTCCAGGACTTTGATAAAACTTGCAGGTTAATCCAATAAACCATTGAATGAAATCTGGAGAGTTCATGTAAAAATAGGAAAATTACTAGAAATTGTAGGAAACTGGTGATAAGCAATTTTTTTAATTTTTATAAGGAGAAACGATGATAGGATCTGCAAACTGTAAGTGAAAGATCTTAGCATTAATCCCAGACGAGATTCTAGAATAAACTATCCAAAAGATGTTTTTAAACAATTAGAAAAATGTAATCACTAAGTCAGCATGGATTTATAAATAAGCATGCCTGACTAACCCAATTCTCGTTTTGGATAGAATTACTAGACATAGTACATATGGCATTTTGACAAAGCATTTTATGAGAAATTCGTGATATAAAAATAAGGAAAGATAGATCAAGTGGAAGCACAATTGAGGGCATTTCTTGAACAAATAAACCTAAGGGAGTGCTAATTCATTGATCAATATCAATTTAGGAATGACTTTCAGTGGAGTGAATCAGCATTCTGACTTGGCAATGTTCTGTAAAACAGAACATTCATCAATGGCTTGAAAGAAAATATAGTAGGCATGTTTATCAAATTGTGTGTGTTACTTATCTATTGCTACACAACAAATTTCCACAAATTTACTGACTTAAAACACTAATTTATTATCTCACATCTTCTATGGGTCAGGAGTCCAAGAAGAATTTAGTTGGGTCCTCTGCTTCAGTGTCTCTCACAAAGTTATAATCAAGATGCTGATCAGGGCTGGGTCTCTCATCTGAGTACTCAAATGGGGAAGGATCTGCTTCCAAGTTCATGTAGTTGTTGGTCTAATTCAGTTCCTTGAGGGTTATTGGTCTGAGGGCCTTAGTTCCTAACTAACAGTTAGTCAAAGGCTACACTCAGTTCTTTGTTATGTGGGCTTCTGCAAGATGTCCTCCAAGCAAGATGGAAGTCACAATCTTACGTAACCAAATCACTGAAGTGACATCCCATCACCATTCCTGTATTCTATTAATCACAGATCTTGCCAACACTCAAAGGGAGAGGGTTACACAAGTGTATTAATAACAAGAGGCAGGGCTCATTGGGGGCCATCTTAGTGTCTGCCTACCACTCTTGTGTAATCCAAAATGTCAAGTACTTTTCTAATTCAGATCATTTGCAATAGCTGTTCCCTCTCTCTGGAATGTTCTACCCCCAGGTAATCACATGGGTGGCTCCTAATCCATTAAGTATCAGCTCAAATGTCATTACCACAGAGATGTAACATTTATGAAATTCTAAAATATCTTGTTTATTTGTGTGGCTTATAAGAATACATAAAGACAAAATAACATGAATTGAAAGTGGGACAAAAGGAGAAAGAAATATCTCTGCTGAAATGATTTGACCCCAGGATGTTAAAAAACTCTATTAGGTTTTTAATACTATACTATTGAAAAAACAATATTAAAAGAAATTTAAAAGTTTCTACAATCTTATCTAGTCAAAATAATGTTTTATTTATTGATGTTACCTTAAGTCTTTGTCCATATGCATATTCAGTTTTTACACAGTTGTAATTCCACAGCTAGTATTTTATATTGTATATTTTTGCTCCACATTATTCCATAATAATTTTCCTTGTTAGAGTCTTATTTTCTTTCTCTCAACAACCCTGAACTGCAACCAATGCTAACAGCCTAGTGTATTTCTCTACATCTTTCTCTACACTCATTAAAAAACACCCCATACATACATGGGGGTTGTTGTTATGGTAGTAGTTTTATTATTTTTTTTTAAAGATTTTTATTAGGGAATTGGGGGATGGGAACAATGCTGAGGAATTGGGGGAAAGGGAACAGACAAGTTGCTGTCCTCTTGCTCCTCAGTCCAGCTGTGGAGGACGTGGCCCCACTGGCCCAAGTCGGTACCATCACTGCGCTCTTCCCAGATGAGGCAGATCAGTCACCGGCTTCTGGACAGCCACTCACTGCGGCTGCTGGCCGCTCACGCTGGCTGCTGGCTACACACGGTAGCCCATGGCAACCCACTGCCACAGGGGCTGCAGCCTACCTGGTGACTCATGGTAGCCCAGCTCCAGGTTGAGCTGTTGTTCAGCATCTTAGCTGTAGAGGGCAGTGTCACTGGCCCTCATATGTGGGATCCGAACCGGGGCCCTCTGGCGTCCCAAGCCAGTTCTTAACCAACGTGCCACTCGGCCGGCCCGATAGTAGGTTTTTTTTAAAAGGGATCATATATTTCTGAACATATTGCTTTATCTCACCTATAATTTCATGGATATCTCTTCACTTTAATTGAAATAGTTCTAACCAATTTGATAGCTGTATAATATTCCACATAAGATCATTTATCTAACACTTCCTCTCATGACTGACATGTAGGTTGTTTTCAGATTTTGGTTTCTTTTTTTTCTTCCTTCTTTGCTTCTTCAAACAATGCTGCAGTAAATATCCCTACATCCCTACACATATAACCTTCTGAGCTGATGATTTTATTACTAAAGGACAGATTCCAGAGTGGAATTCTTTTAGTTCCTCAGATATTTCAAGCTCTTTCTCACCCTAGAACCTTTGCACATGGTTTTATTTTCCTAAAATGCTTCCTAACACATAACAATCTGCAATTTTATATTTTTTATATAATTATTTAACGTCTGTCTCATTACACGCAAGTTCACTGAGAGCTGAATCTTATTCATCCCTTAGATCTTAGCTTACATATACCTGTTTGTAGAGGTTTTCCATGAATTGTAATCCACATTAATCTCCCTATCATATTCTTTCACAGGCCCTCCACTTTTCTCTCTTAGAAAGTATCACAATTTGTAATTATATATTTATTTGTATAATTATTTAATGTCAGTCTCCCCCACTAGGACTGCAGGGAATACATCTATTTTGTTCATCAGTGTAACCCTTACCTGTAGAAGTGTATGGCACATGAAAGATGTTGAGTAAATAGTTGCTAAATATTGAAATAATTCTTAAAGAAAGATGGGGTTTGGAGAAAAATCATACTGTGGAGTAAATCTTCCTTCCATAACAATTTTTAATAGGTGAAATGTGCTTTATGTTCACTAAGACATCTATGTCAGAAGAATTGGTGTTAACATCAACAAAACCTTGCAGGGGAAAAACAATTAGCTCTAAGGGATCTCTAAAGAACAACGTGGGGTCTGAGAAGGGAATGTAGAAAGGAAAAATGGAATTTTAAGAGACAACCATGGAAAACTTCCTCTCAACATGTACTCACTGAGCACTTACCACGTGCCAGACACTGTCCTAGGTGCTGGGGATACAGACAAAAACCCAAAAACCCACCCCTCATGGGAAACCGATAATTAAAAAATAATATGTTAACAATCGGAAAAGCGCTATAGCGTAAAAAATAACAGCGTAGGTAGATAGAAAGCCGAAGGATATTAGTATCAGGGAGGAGCAATTTTTTTAAAGGATGGTCAGGGTAGATCTTAGGAAGATGACAACATTTGAGCAAAGACTTGAGGTAAGTAAAGGAAACAGCCACGTGAAGATCTTGAAGAAAAGTGCTCTAGAGGGAGAAAACCAGCACAAAGGCCCTGAGGCAGAAACATACCTTGTATATACAAGGAATAGCAAAGAGGTCAGTGAGACTGGGGGCTCCCTGGCTTGATAACGTTAGGAAAAAGATGGGGGAGTTTATATATTAGCTGTCTTCGCAGACCATGCCACTTTTCTTCCTCCTTACCCCAGCTGCTACACTGAGTCATGTGCACACTCATGTAACATGCCTCGCCTCCTACTCCCTACTTCCATATAACACCCAGGGGCCAGCTTTTTTATTTTTCCACATCCGTGTCAACTGTGGGACTTTATGACTCCCTAAGTACGGAGAATTATACCTGGCTTATTTGTGTAGACTGTCAGGATCCTCCTAATCATATCTCACTAGTACCAGAGCACGATTAAAAGGAAACTTTGAGATAATTACTGTACTTTGGCAATTCGTGGAAAAAGTACCAATATTAGCCTTCCCGCTCCAACCAATCCACTTCCTTTACTTTTTTCAAAATCGTATTTTACTAACTAGGTGTACCCAAAGCATTTATATACTCAGGAGTGAATGATTTCAAAAACAGTCTAAATGACTTATAAATGGTTCTAAAAACTCTTAATAGGTCCTTATTGACTATAGGACAAAACAGCTGAGGGGCCCAGTTGGTTGGGAGCGTGAGCTCTGAGCGGCAGGGTCCCCAGTTCAATTCTCACATGGGCCAGTGAGCTGCGACCCGAGCTGAGCTGGCAGGGTGGCGACTGGGTTTGGAGCTGAGCTAGCTGCGCCCTCCACAGCTGGGGTTGAGGGACAACAACTTGGCTGTTCCCCTTCCGCAATTCCCCCAATAAAACCTTTTTTAAAAAAAACACCAAAACTTTTTGTTCCTGGGTCCTAGGAGATAGCTGGGAAAGTAACTCAGCTTGCGGTAAAGCCTAGCGCCTCCCAAGTAGTTGGCCTCAAAGTAGGGCCAACTATCAGACTGGGCAGAGGGCAGGAGCGGCCCTGACTGCCACACTGACAAGAGACGAGTTTGGCTGACCGACCCGGGGCCCGGCTCAGAGAGACAGTGGATGTGACGACTGAGAGAAATGCTGGGCCAACTGAGCGAGGGGTAGCAGCACAGTCACACTGACTGACTAACCTAACGTAGGAGCGGATCCCAGCCGACTGCCTGACGGACCAAAGGCAGGAGGAAATGATGGCTGGCGTCGTCATCTTGGAAGACGAAAAAAGACAGCGAACCAGGAGCTGCACAGACGCCAAGCACGCGCTTCGTGCCTCTCCTCACGCGGAGAGCGGGAAAAGCGCCGGCCGGCTGCGCGCCTCGCTGAATGCGCGTGCGCAGTTCTGTGTGTGTGTGTGTGTGTGTGTGTGTGTGTGTGTGTGTGTGTGTGTGTGTGTGATGTGTGTGTGTGTGTGTGTGTATGTGTGTGGTTGTTGTGCGCGCCCGTGTGTCACTTCCCCTCCTCACCCCCCGACCCACGTCGCTCCTCCCTCCACACGTCGCTCCTCCTTTTAACCTTTGACCGGCGCGCGCTTCGCCGAGTGTGCGCGTTCGGCAGCCCCATGTCTCCGCCCCTCACGTGGCCCCTCCCTTTCACCCTAGGCGCGCGCGAGCCTCGGGGGCTGGCCCTCCTGGTCACGTGACTCCCAACTCCGCGCTTTCTGCGCTACAGCCTTCCTAGCTAGCTCCCACTGCCAGAATCCGGCGTTATGGCTGCCGCTGTTCCCCGCGCCGCTTCTCTCTCCCCACTGTTTCCTCTCCTCTTGTTGGTCCTGCTCCTCTCCGCTCCGCAGGGCGGTAGTGGCCTGCACACCAAGGGTGCCCTTCCCCTGGATACAGTCACTTTCTACAAGGTAACGGGGGCGGGGAACATCGCGCTCAGGTGCAGCCAGAGCGCCCTAGGGGAACGCAGACCTGTGGGGGACGCAGGGGACAGAGGTCTAGCAGGAGGTGGTCTGTGGCGACGATCAGGGCTTCCCACCATCCTAATAGGGCTGATGGACTCTGGGCCGAGGCCGTATCATGACCATGGGATCTAATGCTCCACGCTCCCGCGCACCCTTGCCTTTGCAGTATTTGTACTCGCTTCCTCTTTTGCAAAAGAGCTGCTGAGATGCAGCCCAGGGAGCCGGGTGCCCCTTCCCCTCACCCAGGGGGAGAGGGCGGTGCCGGGCAAGATCCAATCCTGGAGTCCCAAGTGGGAGACTCAGAGGGCGGCGCAAGGCGGACGCCACAGCTCCCGCTGTGGTTGGCGGCGGGGTGGGAACCCAGCATGTTAGCACGCATTTCTGCGCCCCTCTTCCCTTGGCGTGGATTGCAGCTTGATTTGCAATATGCAAACAATGTCCAGACAGCCTGAGTCTCCTTGAAAAGTGCAAGCGTTAAGAGTAAGCTGCGGTTTAACCACCCTATATGGAATTTCTTGAACTTGGGATCAAAATGAATACAATCGGGTCAAGGCATGGAAGGATTCGCCACTACTTGCTACCCCCATATTTACAGAATTTGGGGTCCCGGCCTGGCTAATTGTCGTTGGAAATGTTGAAGGCTGAATGCAGTCCCAACCGCCTCCTCGTGCACCTGTCTTCACCTGGTAGCTTTTCACTTTGCCTACAAGATGGGCAAGCTAAGGGCTTGAGAGAAAGCCCATCTTTTTAGTTTCTTAATTTGTACCCATTGCTAGGAAGTGAAACTAAGAAGTGGAGTTCTAAATCTGTCTCAAGTGGTTGACTTCTTACTATTTTCAAAAGGGTTTCTTGTCGTGGATTTGGCACCTGTGGATCATTCAAGGCAGTTTCAAGAATTTAAAACTGTAGGTATGGTTGTCAGGCACACCCCCACAGCAACCTATGCTTTGGGGGCCTTTATTGGCAAAGTGACATCCCCTTCCCCCCAAGCTTGGAAATGGGATAACATCACAGACCAAGTGTGACCTATGGGGAATCTTTGCACTGTAAAGTGAACGGTATTCCCTAATCAGTTGGTGCCTCTCCATCTTTACTGCTACCAGCCTGGTCAAGGCTATCGTGACAACAGCCTCCTCACTGGTCTGCCTGCTTTCACTCTTGAGCCTCTCAGTCCATTCTCCACACAGTAGCCTAAGTCCTACATGATCTGACCTTACTTCCCTCTCCTTTCATCTCCTAACCATTCTCCTTTTTGTCCTCTCTGCTCAGCCACCACTTTCTCTGTCCTTTAAATATTCCTAGCTCATTACTGCCGTAGGCCCTTTGCACTTTTGACTCGAACATTCTTTGCCCAGTCTTTGAAAGGCTGGTTGCTTCTCATCATCCAGGCTTAGGTTAAACGTTACCTTCTCAGAGCCCTTCCATGACTTCCCCCTCCACCAGTCTAAAGTGCCGGTCACATTAACCTGTTTGATTTCTCTCCCTACATTCCAGCACTCATCACTGATTTTTTTTTTCTTGTCTATTTTATCACTTCCCACACTAGAATATTATATGTTTGGGAAGAACTACCTTGCCTATTTAGATCACTGATCAACTACAAAACCTATCAGTTTGCCCGTCACATAGAAGATGCTCAATGATAATTTGTTGAATGAATGAACAAATGTTTCTCCAGTCTCTTTCTAAATTTCGCTCTCTTTATTACCATTGAGCAGAAGGAGAGCTTCCTAGTATGTCCAGGAGGCTCGTTCCATGCTTTGCCTTTCAGTGATTTCCAATGCCTTTTTTTTGTTGGGGGGCAAGAGCCCTTCATCACTAGAAATAAGAGACCCTGTCTGTTTTCTTTCCTGCTGTGTTCACTTAGAACGGTGCCTGGCACATGATAGGCCCTCAATACCTTTTTATTCAGTGAATAAATGAATAATGAATTCACCTGTACATTGAAGAAGCAAGTTGCCTAGATGTTATGGTGGAACCGATTGATTACTCAAGGATGAGGAAAGGAGAGAGATTCCTAAAGCAATTAAGAGGTGCAGACTGAGTGAAAAAACAAGAAAAATTCATCGTGCAAAAGGCTTGCCATTCGAAACCATTCTGCCAGGGATAAGAATGGTGAAAGTAAAAGATGGAGGCCTCTCAATTCTATTTCAATGTTACAGCACTGTATAATTCTTAACATTATTCCATAATACAAATGTAGGCCCCTTGCAGGTAGGGATCCTGTGTTACGCTTTTTACATTGTTTTCCCTCTGGACATGTCATATCTGCTCCCAAAGTCTGCCCTAGTTTTGTTCATTTAGCAAGTATTTTTGGAGCATCTGCTACACACAGGTACTGTTGGGCACTAGGGACACAGAAAACAACAGGTCAGACAAGGTACTTAATTCTCATAAATGTACTTTCGAGTGGGTAGGACAAACAAGCAAATAAGGATTTCAGAGAGCGATTAATGCAGCAGAGAAAGAGCAGGATAATGGATGAGTGTGACGGAAATGAAACAGTATTGGATAGTGTGGGTGTAAGAGGCCTCCGTTAGGAGGGGGTATTTGAAGTGAGCTTTGAATGATAGACAGCCATGGAAAGAACTGAGGAACGTGCCCTCCAGATAGCAGACAGCAAATGAAAAGGCCCTTAGTAGGAATAAGTTTGGTGTGTTGAACTGAAATAAGGCCATTTGGGCCAGAGGGATGTGATCTCATTTATATTTTAAGTCTTCCCTGCTTTTAGGCCCCTAGAGCTCAGAATTTTTGGGGTCAATGACCACTTAAAGATTACCTGTCCTAGTGGCTTTTGCCCCTACCCTTGTGTCTCTAGGCAGTGTTAAATATTTTTTAAAACCTAAAACCAAATGGACACAGCACACAATAAGGAACAAGGACTAACAAAAACTGGGATGGTGTCAGCTTGACTTAATTATGTTAGTGATGGCCTGTGATGAAATACTGACCGGCAGTAATGACTGATGAGAAGAACAAAAAGTTAGAGGAGGAAGAGAAAGCAGTATTACCGACCAAAGGCAGTTTGTTAGATAAAATCGGTGCATTGGAAGGAACTATCGAAAGGAAGTCCTGGGGATTCCTCAATATGTTACATATAGAATTACCACATGACCCTGTAGTTCCACCCCTAGATATGTACCTGAAAGAAATGAAAACAGGTGTTCAAACAAAAAATTGTACATGAATGTTCATAATAGCACTATTCACAAATAGCCAAGAGGTGGAAACATCCCGAATGTCCATCAACTGACGAATGGCTAAGCAAAATGTGGTCTGTCCATACAATGGAATATTTATTTGGACACAAAAAGGAGTGAAATACTGGTGCATGCTACAACATGGATGGACCCTGAAAACATTATGCTGAGCAAAAGAAGCCAGACACATAAGGCCATATATTGTATGGTTCCATCAGAGTAGGCAAATCCGTAGAAACAGAAAGCAGATTAGTGGTTGGGAAGGAGGACGGGAATGATTGCTTAATGGGTATATGGTTCTGGATACGTGGTTCCTTTTCAGGTGGTAAAAATGTTCTGGAACTAGATGTTAGTGATGGTTGCACAACATCGTGAATGGACTAAATCACACTGAATTGTACACTTTAAAATGGCTAAAATGGTCGTGTGACTTTTACAATTAAAATAAAAATCTTGGCCCTGACAGTTTAGGATCTAGAAATCCAGCCAAAGTAAACTGTTCTAGGGAGGGGACACTGTCCCAAGCCTGGCCTCTTAGCAACTTCCCTTGAACCCTGAAACTGCAGAGTTCAAACTCTGGACTCCCTAGCCAACACTTCCTCCATGATACCAACTCCTTTATATAGATGGTTGGTTGGATTTTGTCAGATTTCTGGGTCAGTGCTTATTGAGAAAGGCCCCCTGGGATGATGGGCATTAGGGGCCAACGTACTGTGTGTGCTAAGGGCCTCCTTAGCCTTACCAGAAGGGCCACTGGAGAAGACCTTAATACATCTACAGATTTATTCTAGACAGGATTGTATATGTCTTTGATTAGTGTGAACAAGTACCTAATGGCGTACCCAGCACATAGCAGGAACCAGTAAATTATTAAATGAATAATTATTCATAATGAATGAATGAATGAATATTGGTATGTGAGAGCTTGTCTCCCTTGTGGGATTGGTTTCTACTCCATTTCTTAACCAGGGGTCCTTTGGGAAAAGCAGCCCCAAAGTTCCCTGGAACCCCCCACTTGCTCAGCTCTATACGCCCTCAGGTCATTCCCAAAAGCAAGTTCGTCTTGGTGAAGTTCGACACCCAATATCCCTACGGTGAGAAGCAGGATGAGTTCAAGCGTCTGGCTGAAAACTCGGCCTCCAGTGATGACCTCTTGGTTGCAGAGGTGGGGATCTCAGGTATGACAAGTCCAGGACTACCGACCGGGGAGGGCAGAGAGGGAGGAAGCCAGGAATGACTTCCCTACTTGTCGGGGGAATCCCAGCACCTTTTTGTCTGAACCCCACAC